ACCATACTTCAGAGGAGAGTGTGTGTCCGGGTCTACGTTCATGGCAACCTACAATCTGCCTGTCATACTGGACACAACTGAGACCGGTCCCCTTCATGGCCATAATGACATCGATGCCGCCTTATATGATAAGTGTTATTAACCATAGCCTACATTTGATACGTTTAGTTTACTCTTATGGGTTGGCAAATGATGCATTGTTTGGCGATAATGCGTTGCTCTATGAACTCCAGAAGATGAAGTTCTAGATTCCGTTTTTATAGGGGTCAGTAATAGGACCATGAAGTAGTGACTTTATTGAAAACAGATTTGAAAACAATCGCTGTTGGCAAAACCATCATTGTAATGCTGATAAACAAAAAAACATGCTAAGAAAACCACAGGATAGCAGAGAAACCATAACAGAAAGTCTGGATGTCTGTACAACAGACACTATACCTGGATGAACGCCAAAATGCCTGAGATGCGTCAGTACAGCTTCACCGAGCAAGATTGAGAAAATGACACACACACACACACAAATGTTTCGATGTGTTAATACAATGGTAATATCAACGGATAGTAGTAGAAACCTATCCATCCATCAACAACTTATGTCTAAACTTATAAAGATACAGTTGCCTAGGTTGTAGTTGCTATATAACCAAAACCTTGAGATTTCAGGTAGATTAAATTAAGTTTTTGTTAACCTTCCAGTACTGACATAAAATTACTGTTTGCCTATAATATTACCAATCTGGGATCAGTGAAATTGTCAAATTAGTGTTAGTGTTTCATGAAAACGGAAATTTCCAAGTCCAAGCGTCGCACAACAGAGATAATCATTGTAACGTTGTTGCCGCAAGTACTAGACATAAATGCATATCAGGCATTCCACATTAATTCTGAAGATGTTTTCACTATATAAGAATTATAAAACTAGGGTCGCTTTATGAACTGTACCACAGAACCAAAACAAAGTATAAAGTTTTCGTTTTTAAACCATAAATAAGTTTACTTTGGTACACAACAAATGCTTTGTTTGTGTAACCCGGTCAGAACCAGAAGTAACGGAATGAAAAAATAAAGAGAAAGCATCCATATGTGTACCACACAAATGTAACAACGAATTATAATTTCTTCTAGTGTACCTGGTAGCTTTCGGCCATCATTTATATGGATGCTTTCTCTTTATTTTTTCATTCCGTTACTTCTGGTTCTGACCGGGCAATGTATTAACTGCTTTCAACAACGGTTGAAATTATTCTCTGAACCGAATCAGAAAGGTCTACATTCTAAATATGCCAAGGACTGATTGAAGCGAGTTTGTTTCGGTTGAATTCACTGAGAATAGGGTTAACTTTACAATTCGGTCATTGACGCACCGCGGTCAAGAACCCGTGCGTCACTCGTAAGCGAGTTTGATAACATCATGAGCACATACGCTGACACGGATTTTGGGGATCATCTCGAAAACTAAGCACAATCCTTAGCAAGTTACCGATACATTACTCCTTCTATTAATTCTCCTATACACTGCCTGTATTCAAACTTTCCTTCTATTAATTCTCCTTTTATACTGTATTCATATTTTTCTTCTATTAATTCTCCTAAACACTGTATTCATACTTTCCTTCCATTAATTCTCCTATACACTGTCTGTATTCATACTTTCCTTCTATTAATTCTCCTATACACTGTATTCATACTTTCCCTCTTTTAATTCCCTTTTACACTGTATTCATATTTTCCTTCTATTAATTATCCTATACACTGCCTGTATTCATACTTTCCTTTTATTAATTCTCCTATACACTGTATTCATACTTTCCCTCTTTTAATTCTCCTTTTACACTGTATTCATACTTTCCTTCTATTAATTATCCTATACACTAGCTGTATTCATACTTTCCTTTCATTAATTCTCCTATACACTGTCTGTATTCATACTTTCCTTCTATCAATTCTCCTATACACTGTATTCATACTTTCCCTCTTTTAATTCTCCTTTTACACTGTATTCATACTTTCCTTCTATAAATTCTCCTATACACTGTATTCATACTTTCCCTCTTTTAATACTCCTTTTACACTGTATTAATACTTTCCTTCTATTAATTATCCTATACACGGTATTCATACTTTCCTTCTATTAATTCTCCTATACACTGTATTCATTCTTTCCTTCTATCAATTCTCATATACACCGTATTCATACTTTCCTTCTATTAATTATCCTATACACCGTATTCATACTTTCCTTCTATTACTTCTCTTTTACACCGTATTCATACTTTCCTTATATTTTGTTGTGTGTATTGTACGCAATAACGATTTTTCGTTTGATGTACGAAACACAGTGTCTAAAAAACACAATTTACACAAGATAATCTACAGAACATTATCAACGCTATTATAACAGGTTATCTGTTTATTTATTTTTTACTTTTCTAAAGCATTAAAATAATCGCCATTGTCTACACAGCAAATTCCACGTGTGAAATAATAAAAGCAAAAAAACAGAAAACCATGAACACGAGGTCCTTACACTGTGTCAAAGCCTTTAGCAATTCTGATTCCTCAGACACTAACTGAAAGAAATAAAATATATATATGAATATATTAAAAATATTAGTTTTAAAAATAGTTTTACACACAAGAAATTGGTTTAGTTTAAATTTTAAATTTCCATTTTGCAAATTATTAATGTATTTATTCGAGGTTTACAGCCGAGATTAAGGAGAACCTCCAATTTTTATGACGCCTTTGAAACTAGGCCAGTTTTGTTTGTTTCTGTTTAACGGCTGATCGACAACTGTTGTCATTTAGGGCCATGGTGATTTATTTATTTTATTTGTTAACAAAAGAATAGCTGAGATAAAATATGATAAAAAAGAATATTTTCAAAAAAGCATTCGCATGATATGTGTAAATATTTAGAATAAAAAGGAGTTAAAATAATAGGAGAGATAATGAATATATTATATGGAATATTTGATATATATATAACGTCCAAGAGGGTAAGGTGAGTGTAAAAGGCATCAGAGTCTATAAAATAGACCGATGGCCTTCATATAGTTAAATAATGCCTTCAAATCCACGGAACTGAAAGGAGTTTTCATATCCGGGACTCGAAAGTAATTATCACAAATGTGTTAAAACTCGAAACATTCTATTAAAAAATGTTCCACCGTAAATGGAGAGTCCCATGCGTGGCATGATGGTGGATCTTCTCGTGTTAAAAGGTACGAATGAGTAGTATATGTGTGCCCAGTACGGAGCCGAGAGAGGACAACTTCCTCTCTACGATCTTTCCGACAGGGAACATATGTTTAAAAACTTTTGAGTTTTGACGAATAGTCTATAAGTGGTAATAGTGACCTTAACTTTTTAGCATGAAACGCGAACTAGGCATTCTCTTATTTATTCAAACTTGATTACATCTTTATTCTCAAGATCATTATTTTCCTTAGTAGCAACATGTATGGCCAATTTGCTCAAGGTACTCTTATACTTATTATGGATAAATGATTTTGAATAAAAATATCCAGAAATGAAGTCGCCTTTACCCCCTCAAAGGATCTCGATAATAGGACAGGTCCAACGTTGTTGCAAAGTTGCCACTGTTTACAATTTGATGAAATTTAGTTAAAACTCATGACTATATGAACCATTCGGAATAAGAATCATCAGCTTGGTATGAATTATAAAGGTTGTGTTTGTTTTGAAACAAACAGGAATTCAAAAGTTGTTTTGCACCTGTCAAAGAGTGTAAATGACCGATGTCTCCACTCTGAACCCTGAAAACAACTCACTAAGTCACACTGTGCCGAACCAGTAAAGTTAATTGGCTTTCAAAATTCATAGAGACATTTCGCCCAATTGCACTCTAATACTGCAGGAAGTCAGGGTAACGGGGATCAAGTTTACAATTTCTTTTTGTGTTCAAAACAAACCTAGCCTTGATTAAAGAACCAGCAACCAATCTTCTAAAAAAGATAACTATCAATTTGAAATTGGCTGTCTAACAAACGTGTTTACCTGAGGTATTTAAATAATTTACCATTGTTTTAAGCTTGATACGATATAGTTTTGAGACGACCCCCAGTCCCCATCGTGTCCGTGAAGGTGCAGACATCCGCAATATTAGAAATGGCTAATCCCTTTCTATAGTTAATTAAACTATTGTAATTTGAACATAGTGTCATTTTCTTTAAAATGTCAATTAAAATCTTGAACCAGCAACTCTAGTACTAGCGGTATTCGCAGAGATAGAATATCTCTCGTTTAACAAATCATATCAAAAACCGACGACCAAACTAGATATACGAGGTTCTGGTACTGTCTTACCGAATCCTTACAACACACACAATAGCCGCAGCGTACACAGCAGCAGATGTAGCCGCTATGTAAACATTCATACAATGCCACTTTATGTATATAATCGGGGCTTGTACAGAGTTATTATCTTTTAAATCTTATTACATTTACGAATTCTTCTGAAAAGGAGTATGAAATTGTTACAATTAAAATAAAAGCAGGAGGTTTTAGGCTTCGAAATGATCACCAATAATCCAGAACTATGATTTATCGTCTAAAATGTGTGATAATGCGATAATTTATATAAATGGATTACTATTGTTAAGCTTAATATGTCTAAAACAATAAGTTTTGCCAGATGTATTGTGCTGGCATGCTCTAGTTCTTTTGTGTGGGAACCATCAGGGTCTTTGACCTAAGAGTCAGGAACCAGACGTTTAAGCACTGTTAGCTTCACGCTACATCATTATGGACATAACATCAAGGATTGCCTCATAAATTCTGAAGTTTAGGGGAAATTGATAAACGGATTCCATTCAAAATGCCAATGTTCAGAAAATCAAATCCAAGGAAAGTTTTGTAACAAATACGTTGGATAAAAGATATTTTTGATTGGTTGTACCACTAGGCTGGGAATGCGTTGACCTACTGGGCGCCGGATTTAGGTTTATATACAAGATACGTCTGTCTTAACTATTTCACTAGAACACTTGCGGTACCGACACACCACTCTCAACATGTGGATTGCCGTGTTTGTTGTTCTTGTGGCTGGTGTGAACTGTAAGTAATATTTTATAATTCAACTTCTTAATAAGACACAAACTATTTTTCATATTATCTGATTTGTATCGCATTTCGTATTCTTATTCAAGAATCCTGAAAAAGTGCCCATTACATGTTATTTTTATGAAACGTGCAGCATAGCGTCTTGGAGATTATGTGAATCATATTATTCATATTATATGACATGTCATTCATTGAGAAATGATTATTTTTGTAAATGGTTTGTGGTTCTATTACACGTATTTCTGTTGATGATGATGTTAACAAAACCTGGCATTTTAACAGAAATTTAATTCTATATTTAGTTATTTAACAACCCTATCGTTAAAACGTGAAATGATAGAAAAAAACCGGAAGAACGCAGATCTTATGTAAATATTTGAAACGTGACAAGAAGTGTTATTTATGAAAAGCCGTCACTGTCATGTAATGTTGCGCTATTGTAAAGCCTACCAGCTTCCCGCAAAGGCTTTCCTAAAAGCATTTTGAGCAGACTCCATTTTGGCTGCTGAAACTATGAAGCGTGCGTGTCAATTCATTTATAAGACAAATTTTGATAAGCTGATGCATTTAACATGATGTCGTTGGAAACATTACCGTTTTACGTTTTAAAAGTTACTGCATGAAATGCTGTTTTCTACAACAAAAACATTTATACTTTTGAAAAGAAATGAAAGCATTTAATACGAAAGTGTATCTCAGTTTTGACATTAGCGGCTTAAAAGATTTTAAACGTCTCAGAGTGTCTTAGATGTCAATGAGCGTCCCATTATAACCCAATTTGAAGTAAAACTGTAATTATTGTTTCCGTAATCTTCTAACAGCTATGCGTTCAGTTTACCGAAGTAATTTGATGGGTAAGTAACTTCAACTAGGGATACCGACCGTGATAATTCTCAGGCTAGGCGTACAAGTATTACCAAGTGTGGTAAAACAATCTGATGGTCATGAGTTCGTTTTATACTGATTTGCTCACCTAATGATTACTTCTATATGACCTAGTATTTACGAGTGGAAGTCTACATATGTAATAACATCGGTGGTGTATCCGTACCGACTGTGTGTGTATAATTGACCTCTAGAACCCTCATTGTGCCGGGCACAATCTCTTCCCATAGCAAAACGAAGCATTATACGATATTTTTAAACATTTAATATATGTTCGAGGGGATGTGTGTGTGTGTGTGTGTGTGTGTGGGGGGGGGGGGGGGGGGGAGCTTATCCACACTTTTAATCGTCCTTCGGTCTATATTTCTTTCAATTTCTTTATTTCTCTCAATGAAATAGCTGACATTGGTCCATGTTATTTGAAGTGCATCTTAACAATTATGTTGGGGAGCGCTTGAGAAATAAATGAAGGACTTATAATCAACGTTATTAACTGTGATGGTGTCGAATTCGTTTTAATGATTATTCTCAGAAATAACACCGACATATTAACAAAGAAAACATTGCATTTTAGGTAAGAAAGTCTTTATTGTTTTATTATGTATAAATTATAAGCTTGGTCATTGTCTCAATCAAATACTGTAGTTTTACGTGTGACATCACGGTTCCTTCCTAGCCTACCCTATCCTGTACTATGGTGTCCACTAGCGTCCATCTTAGACGTTTTCCTGTGATTCATTACATACACAGGATATTCTACTCCTGCTCTTATCAACATATTTCTGTCACCTTTTCTTTCCCTACTGCGAGAGTTGGTGTGTCAACACTAACCACTTCCGTCGTGTTGCTGTAGAGAAAATTTTAGTCAACATCTGCTAAGCCCATTTTTTTCCCTATGGTACATCAACTTCGTCTAGTAGGAAGAATGTGCGACTTGGGTGATTCGTTGGTGTGGGAACGCAAAGGGGTAAAATCTATTATTTCTTTGTTGATATAAAGTGCCACTTCTCAACGACCGCATTACTCTTCGTTGTCACAATGTCTACCATTGTCCACACACTTTAACCCATTTTTTTCCATTTTAATACGAAGTACATGAAGTAATGTGACAAATGTCCCTGCAGTCTTTCTTTCACTGCCCTATTCACATTCTCAGTTCCATTTTCTGTGTTTTTTGTTTCACCGCCACGAAGTGGAAGCTAGACTTACGTGTTGCTTTTCCGGTGACGGCTGCGTCAACATTTCGTTTTTGTGTTTAAGTTAGTTAACCAAACTTGCATCATACATGCGTCTAAGATAGTACATCTCAGCCCATGCATCAAATGTTGGATGCGGCCTACCGTTCATGATACATTGATCATGACTTTCTCAGCATCTCCATCAACATTAAGTCTTTGCGTTTAAGTTAGTTTTTCTGATATGTGCCTTGATGGTCAAAGCGGGGCATAGGCGAGATATATCAATCCGAACGGCTTGTTAAAGACATCCATAGCTTGTGAAAACATGTCTCAATAACAAATACACTATTCTGTACAATGATTTGTGGTACCTTAAACACTGCGGGTCATCTAGAGTATACATTTGTGAAGGAAATGAAGTATTTGTTTGCAGATAACGTTTCAGGATATGTACCTGGCAAGTGCAAGCTTATCTTACATTGTTGTAAGAAGTTATTGTCATGTCTGGACAAAAAGGCTCGAGGTTGCTGTGATACCTTGTCCGACGAGAAGTGCATTTACCCAAGTGTGCATGCAGTTTCTTTTACATAATTGGGAAGCAATGCTTTTGGTGCCTATACACCATTGCTTCATGGAAAGAAAACAGATCGGTTCTACATTTTATTGTACATACAAGCGTATTTTAGGCTTTTTATACCCACATGTGACAATTAATTCGTCACACTAAGTAGACTTGCAAAAACTTCATACTTTGTAGTTCTGTGCTATAATGGGCATTGACAACAGGGTGTTACTTTATCCAAAAGAACTCAAACAAAAATCCAAAACAATCAAAGCCATTCTGGGTTACTCTCTTCGTGTAGTTTTCACATGTTGCCTCCCCCTACAGATTAAAAATGTCATCTATCAAGGTTGCTTGATTGCCGTTGATCTATCAAGGTAGCTGGACTGACGTTGATCTATCAAGGTAGCAGGAATAACGTTGATCTATCAAGGTAGCAGGACTAACGTTGATCTATCAAGGTAGCAGGACTAACGTTGATCTATCAACATAGCTGGACTGACGTTGATCTATCAAGGTAGCAGGACTGACGTGGATCTATCAAGGTAGCTGGACTGACGTTGATCTATCAAGGTAGCTGGACAGACGTGGATCTATCAAGGTAGCTGGACTGACGTTGATCTAATAAGGTAGCTGGACTGTCGTTGATCTATTAAGGTAGCAGGACTGACGTTGATCTATTAAGGTAGCAGGACTGACGTTGATCTATTAAGGTAGCAGGACTGACGTTGATCTATCAAGGTAGAAGGACTGACGTTGATCTATCAAGGTAGCTGGATGACGTTGATCTATCAAGGTAGCTGGACTGACGTGGATCTATCAAGGTAGCTGGACTGACGTTGATCTATCAAGGTAGCTGGACGAACGTTGATCTATCAAGGTAGCTGGATGACCTTGATCTATCAAGGTAGCTGGACGAACGTTGATCTATCAAGGTAGCTGACGTAGATCTTTCAAGGTAGCTAGACTGACGTTGATCTATCAAGGTAGCAGGACTGACGTAGATCTTTCAAGGTAGCTGGACTGACGTTGATCTATCAAGGTGGCAGGACTGACGTTGATCTATCAAGTTAGCTGGACTGACGTGGATCTATCAAGGTAGCAGGACTGACGTGGATCTATCAAGGTAGCAGGACTGATGTGGATCTATCAAGGTAGCTGGACTTACGTTGATCTATCAAGGTAGCTGGACGAACGTTGCTCTACCAAGGTAGCTGGACTGACGTTGACCTATCAAGGTAGCTGGACTGACGTTGATCTATCAAGGTAGCTGGACGAACGTTGATCTATCAAGGTAGCTGGACTGACGTTGATCTATTAAGGTAGCAGGACTGACGTTGATCTATCAAGTTAGCTGGACTGACGTGGATCTATCAAGGTAACTGGACTGACGTGGACCTATCAAGGTAACTGGACTGACGTTGATCTATTAAGGTAGCAGGACTGCCGTGGATCTATCAAGGTAGCAGGACTGACGTGGATCTATCAGGGTAGCTGGACTGACGTGGACCTATCAAGGTAGCAGGACTGACGTTGATCTATCAAGGTAGCTGGATGACGTTGATCTATCAAGGTAGCTGGACTGACGTGGATCTATTTAGTTAGCAGGACTAACGTTGATCTATCAAGGTAGCTGGACTGACGTTGATCTATCAAGGTAGCAGGACTGACGTGGATCTATCAAGGTAGCTGGACTGACGTGGATCTATCAAGGTAGCAGGAATGAAGTTTATCTATCAAGGTAGCTGGACTGACGTTGATCTATCAAGGTAGCAGGACTGATGTTGACCTATCAAGGTAGCTGGACTAAAGTTGATCTTATAAGGTAGCTGGACTGACGTTGATCTATCAAGGTAGCAGGACTGACGTTGATCTATCAAGGTAGCTGGACTGACGTATATCTATCAAGGTAGCAGGACTGACGTTGATCTATCAAGTTAGCTGGACTGACGTGGATCTATCAAGGTAACTGGACTGACGTGGACCTATCAAGGTAACTGGACTGACGTTGATCTATTAAGGTAGCAGGACTGACGTGGATCTATCAAGGTAGCTGGACTGAAGTTGATCTATCAAGGTAGCTGGACTAAAGTTGATCTAATACGGTAGCTGGACTGACGTTGATCTATCCAGGTAGCTGGACTGACGTTGATCTAATAAGGTAGTTGGACTGACGTTGATCTATCAAGGTAGCAGGACTGAAGTTTATCTATCAAGGTAGCTGGACTGACGTTGATCTATCAAGGTGGCTGGACTGACGTTGATCTATCAAGGTAGGGACCTATCAAGGTAGCTGGACTGACGTTGATTTATCAATGTAGCAGGACTGACGTTGATCTATGAAGGTAGCAGGACTGACGGTGGTCTAT